CGGTAAACAAACAATATTGTGTAAAACACGCATGTGGGTCCATATATATTATATTGTATACGATCTATTGTAATAATATATCACACGCAAATGTATACAGATCGAAGACTTGCACGATTGCGTTTCGGTCGGACGACTATCGCATGCGGCTTAAATAAATCTCGCCGGTATGCGTATCGCGTTATTATATTATTATAAGTATACAGGGTGTAACAGAATGAACTGACCAAAAAAAATTGATGCTGCTTAAACGTAGGACAAAAATTGATAACATTATACGATTAGTAAATAGTTTTAGAAATATACCTATGTTAACAAATTTCCAAAATTTTTTTTTTTTTGAGTTATTGCTTTCCAAATTAATTTAATCAAAAAAATATTGATATCTAAAAAATAAACTACTTGACTTAGATAAATGTTTTAAATCTTTCTTATAATCAGTTCACAAATTGGCGATTTTGAATTTATTCAAATAAATTTAAATCCAATTTAAAATTTTCGGTATTAAAAAGTAAAAATAATTTTTTTTATTACACGTGTAGCGCAAGTGGCTATAAATAATATATAAAAAAAAATTTAAAAATATTTATTGTTGAACAAAAGTTATTCCAAAAGTCAGTTCTATCTGCAGTTACACCCTGTATAGGTATAATAATATTATGTGGCTGCTGTATTGTATATTATATTATTATATATCTCGCTTACCACTGCCGCCGCCCTTTACAGTAATAAACTTGGGCTAATATTATATTTGCCGATTTTCTATATGCGTATACGACATATTTAGAGCGCATATTAGAGCCACGCACTGTAAAACGGTGGTGCAGAGGATTTAGGAGGGTTCAAATTCAAACCCCTTGAGCTCAGGTACTCTGCGAATTACAAAATATTTAAATACCAAGACCTCCGAAAAAGTATTTTTCCGTCACGATAATGGACAAATAAGTGGATATAAATTAAAAAATTGTTCATTGTTTCATTATAATATGTTTCTACCAGCTTTTGGTATTATAATACTGATATAACCTGATATACAGAGGGTATCTTATGTCATTGTACGCGGGGGTTTTTAACGATTATGGATCGATGACATAGTATTTTGTTAAAACCAAAAAAGCCTTTTCTTTATTTTTAACAGGCAATTTTTTTATAACAATTTCAAAATTTTTAAACACGCAGGTGTACCAATTGCAAAATCAACTTTATTTTATCCAATGGTGACTACTGACTACTATATTTTTTTAATGGATTCTGGTAAAGCTTTTTTTTCTAGCCGATGCCATTAATTGGTATGTCTCGTCCAAATTTACCGTATTATTTATAGTTATTTAAAAAATATAGAAATCTGCAGTCTATAAACTATATTATATACAAAATAATCTGCCATCATGTTTCCTTGTTTGTATGGTTGATAATGCTGAGTGACTCTTAGCTAGTTAGCTCTGAGGTTGTGATTAGGAATGTTTTTATGGATTGTTGGGATGTGGTAGCTTCGTTTGCAATTATAGGTATGCTTTTTCGTTTCCTGGTATTCCGACACCAGAACGGACCCAAATGGATGCTATTCATTCATTCGTAGTTTTTTTCAGTTGATGTGTTGTATCAGTTCATTTTTTTAGTAGGGGTCTGTTATTAATTTTATGGCGGTCATGGAGTTACAAATGATCAAGGGGAAATCGGAAGAACAATAAGCACGACGCCGTCGATGATACATTCTGTATATAATATAAATAAATGTATAGTATTATATTTCACAAATTGGTCCCTTGTACCTATATATTATCATTCATGGGCGCATGGCAGACAACATTATATAGTTGTGACATAAGTATAAATGTTAAAATGTATAAGTATAATATGTTGGGGTCAAGAATATAATTCACATTATATTTATGAGCTAAAAATATGGACTCTAATAGGCTAATTTAATTCATTTAAATGAAATTTTCATTTGTCTAAATGTTTTATTTTTCTTTATAAATATCACTTAGCTTAAAACTTAAGTATTGTAGGTACTTATATCCCAAACTTATATATCCAACAACAGTATCATTATGCTTAAGGGGAGTTTCAAACATATTATAACTATTGTTATTTATACCTAATTATATTATTTGTTTAGCAGAATTCTGAAATCATTTTTTAATTTTCATGAAAATTTGGTGATGCCGTGATGAATACAACTCCCACAGCCCCTAGCATATGTAAATAATAAATATGATTTATAATTTTTCAACTCAGTGTTTTTCTTATGCACAATACAACATCGCTTTTTACAAAATGAAAACCATAATGCGTGCAATATTGTATAATTATTATTTATACATCATATATGTATATATTATCGGTATGTATGAGAAAAGCTATTTCTATAACTTCCAATCGTTTTAATTAATTACAATGATAAATATATTACCTTTCAACCCCATGCATACATATATGCATACAAAAATAAAATACAAGTATTTACCATTATGAAAAATAAGTGGCCTGACGTTGAAAAAAGGCTTGCTTAAACCGACAGGTTGGCTGCAGTTGTCATCTAGACTAAAAAACCTCAAAACGCGCCACTAAATTAAAGCTGAAAGACTAGCTAAAATCTAGGTTTGTGTACACGTTCGTTACAAGAACGGTTAACGAGTGTAAATTAGTATAATTAGTAAATGGATCAGTAGATTTAACTATCATATTTTACGGTCGTTTCCGCAAGTGATTTCAAAGAGCTTATTTTTGTATTAACTGATACATTGATATGATATAGTATATAACTGGTATTTTTCAAATAAATTTCAAAACCGTTTGAATCGTTTAAATGATAATTTTTGTGTGGAAAAATTGAGTACTTGTGTACCTACATTTTACCAGGAATTACATAAAAATACTTTAAATGTATGTTGAACATTTTGGAAATTACAAAAATCGTAATCCATATACTGATAATGTTAAACGAAATCGTACTGATCGTACGATAACATATTATGAGATACTATAATATAGATCGTAAATACACCCAAAAGAACACATATGCATAAAAAGTAATAGGTACATGCGGCCATACCACGGGTATAAATGTGAAAATGTATAAAATGTTTTTAATAGTCGATCTTATCATAAATACTGTATGAGTGGCATGGCGCGGGCAGGGGGACAACAAACCAATTCCGTAGGTCCTTGGTGATTTACTCAATGTATTTAAAACCACTGTAATATTAAACTTAAAAACGTTATACTTTAAAATACGACTTCAAAATGTTTTAATTGTTCGTCGTCCCACACATATACTGCAAATTACAACATTCGCTGGATCAATAAACGACAGATATAAATGAGAAATAACAAGCTGCGTGTTAGGTATATACTCGTGTATATATTATTTTTGGACCGTCACGTGTAAAGAACCCGTTTCTTGTGCACCAAATGTTTTATGGTAATTTTGAAAATTAAAGTGACCACTGAAAAGTGAACTAGACGTTTAGTCCAATACCAATATAACATATAGAGTATCGTATTTTCTCCAAATAAAATCGGCATAGTGCATAATATTATAAAATATTTAAATAGTATTTATACGTGTGCAATGTATAATGTATATACCCATTTTTTTTTAAGGTACATATAATAATATAATATGTACTATACACTGCTATAGTATAAAAAAGTTAATCGTGATGAATAGCTAGCTAGTGTTTTTCAAGATTTAACCACTAATTGGTTTCCCGATTTTTTCCTAAAAATATATAATCTGTACAGTTATCACACATTTATACACTATTAATTGATAGAAAAAAATTGCCCAGACAATTCTTATAACTCATTTATTTATTTCAAAGAATTTATTTTATGGGAATATAATATTATACAACGTTTATATTCCACTTAATACTAAATACATTTATTTATTATTTTTGTTTTAATTTAAAAGTATATAATATGTACCTATTTATATTATTATTACGTGACAATAAATAATAACTGATTCTTATAAAGTACGTGAAGTTTGATGGTTATCCAGTTTTTAAAAGTCCAACTGTGATTGAATGCATTTGAATGGTATCTTATAGTTATATAGGCACGTTAATTATTAAAATATTCCATAGACGATGTAAATTATTAATCCACTCACTAATAACTAATAATTATTAAAAATTATAAATTTAAAAAATTAATTTAAACTTGTATAAGTATTTCTCTAAAAAATGACCTCTTCAAGTCAACGTGATTTGATAGGCTTGAACTTAAAATGAACAATGTGGTAATAAAATATCTTGTAAATTCGCTTCTAAATATAAGAAATAATCATTACAATTGTATAAAAAAAGTTTTTGAATTGAATCTAGACTTCATTCATCTAAATCGTGGTTACAATAGGTTTATGTGATAGGTACACGGAAAAAAATGTTGTTAAAAACCATTTAACTGGTTATTCGACACAAAATATTGGTGTGTATAGTGAACACTCCACACACCATAGGTAAAAGTTACCTTATGATTCGATTATGCATTAAATGGTTATTATAATATGTAATGTGTTACCTAAGATTTACACGGCGATCGAAGTATCTATATAAGTTGAGTAATATTAAAATACAGTTTTTACAAACATGCATAGTTGTACAATATTTTAGTACATATCACCATAATATTTTAAACCATAGAAAAATTATTTTTTTCAGTGTATGATTCCGATTGCGCTGAAAAACCGGTAGGTATCGTTTAAAGAGCATTCGTAGGTTTATTCAACAAAACTATTGTTAAATTATGATTTAATTGTTACAATCTGCTACATCTTATTACTAGCTGGCTACAATCTAACTATACTTATACTGGCCATAATAGAAACCAGAAAAATAACACTATCTATAATATATTGTTTATTTTTTTAGGTAACAAGCGATTATTTGAAATCCGTTAATAAATTGTTTAGCGCTCACTCGTCCGAGTAACAGCCGTGTTCATAATTTTCAGTACTGACGTCGTTCGTTTATTATAAAACCGTAGAAATGGACTTGGAAACTTCACAATGCCAGAAGTCTTACGAACGTGCCAGCGATTGTCGATGTGTTGTGGACACGCTCGATCTGGCCGTTGATCGTAGGATCACGGCAGTCGGGTGTCCGTTGTGGCGCAGTCGAGGAGTTAGTTTCCGGTCGTCACCCGAATTGAGGTTTGACTCACCCATATACCGGGACGTAGTGGTGCAAGTTGCCGCATCGACAGTGAAAAAATTTCCAGATTTTCGTGTGACTGCAGAGATGGACGCCCACTTGGGAACTTCACAATGTCAGCAGTCTTACGAATGTGCCAGCGATTGTCGATGTGTTGTGGACACGCTCGATCTGGCCGTTGATCGTAGGATCACGGCCGTCGGGTGTCCGTTGAGGCGCAGTCGAGGAGTTAGTTTCCGGTCGTCACCCGAATTGAGGTTTGACTCCTCACCCATGTACCGGGACGTAGTGGTGCAAGTTGCGGCATCGACGGTGACAGATTTTAACGTCACTGCAGAGATGAACGCCTCCGATCTGAAATCAATGCGACCTCCGCATGTTCGATCATCGATCGCCGCGCTGGACTTAGCCGGTGATCGTAGAATCTCTTTGGCTGTCAGGCCACCGATGCGTCGTGACAATTTCCGGTCATGTCCAGAGCTAAGAAGTCAGTTACCCGTGTACGGCGGCGGAGTGAATACCGTCCCACCGGCACCAGTGGAAATTCTGCAGAAACCAGAGTGGTCTGAATGCCGTAAATCTCAATACGCCAGTGAGGGTAGATGTGTTGTGGACGTTGATCGTAGGATCACGGCCATCGGGTTTCCGTTGAAGCGCAGATATGGAGATAGTTTCCGGTCGTCACCCGAGTTAAGGATCGACTCACCCGTGTACCGGGGCGTAGTGGTGCAAGTTAACGCATCGACTGTGAAAGAATTTCCAGATTTTCGTGGGACTGCAGTTCGATCATTGATAGCCGAGCTGGACTTAGCCGGCGATCGTAGACTCTCTTTGGCTGTCGGGCCACCGTTGCGTCGTGACAATTTCCGATCGTGCCCGGAACTGATAATTCAGTTACCCGTATACAACGGCGGAGTGAATACCGTCCCGCCGGCACCTGCAGCGGAAATCCTACAGCAACCGGCACAGTCTGAACGCCGCAAATCCGCTTGGAAAAGATCCAGACGGTTCATTTGGAAGGGTCTGGTAAACGCGGCTCGCAGAATTTGTTTCTGTCGGAGCTTTGTGGATATGGAATAAGATTCGCCAAGTTACCACAGTGGTCGGGGCTGTGTCACCTGCAGTCAGCCGCCGATCAACCAGCAGTTTTTGGGGTAGATATCTACCAAAAGCGCCGTTCGTTGTATTTGCTTTACTATATTCGTCACACTTCGTGCAAGTTCGTCGAACCAGTGACGTTCGCGTGCTCGCGTATTGTTTAGCCTTCGTATTGCGGCATATTAAGTATTGTTCATTAGTTTCCCTTAAGTTTTGTGTTGCCTCTGCTGGGGATGTGATAATTTTTTTTGGTATGCGGTAACATGCTATACATTTTGTACTCACTATTTTTTTTTGTACTAAAATACCTAATAGGTATTATTTAGGTATAATATACCTAATTCTGTATTATCTGTTATAATAAACCACGATACTAACATATTGATTTGTTGTATATATTTACTTTGGTCATTTTCTCCCTCAACTCTTCGAAAGGTGCAAGCCGTTCCCTCTAACCACAGTGTTTAAAGTAGGAGCGATGTGGCGTCAAAAAATAAGTTGAGTTCAAAGTGTACCTGCCATAATTGTTATTTATTTTTGTTTTATCTTTGTTGAGCCGGCAGTGAGATGCCGTCCTAAGCCACTATGCGGTAACTCCAAATTACGTAGGTTTGAGGAAATTATAAAAACGTTTTCAACACTAACTTGGTCCTCAGAGTAAGGATAATATTTTTTAAACATTAAAATTATGGTAAGTATGTTATTTTGTTTTTAATAAGAAAACTATTGAACAAAAAAAAAGTTTTTTATGGGTTTTACTGGAAATAGGTACTGCACATTAGCTTATATTAGTCAGAAGATGAAAATCAGTAAGTACCTACGCTTTTATTTTGAGTTAACTTTTTTGTGAAGACAGACTTTATAGAAATACTGTATAAATAATTAAATTAAATATAATGATTTCTCAGTTAAAACTAATAATTAAGAAGGTTGTATAAGTATTATATGTACAGATACTAAAAGCCAATTGAACAAATTTAAAAAATGTTTCATATGAAATATTTACATAATATTGGCAATACTCAAATTGTATTCAAATTAAAACTGTTTAAACTGTATGTATTAGGTACAATTTACTATTTTATTTTAACATTTTATACATTTTATTTTATATCAAATTATACACAAAATAATATACATGTGGCTTATTAGATTTTTTACTCAGAAAAAGGTACCTACAGGCTACAATACTGCGCCTGTATATTGGCCACCCTAAAAATTTAGTTAATTAGTTACATAATACATTATTTATTATCAGTGAGATCACCTACTTGTCCACCTTTTTATAATTGTTATTACTTAGTATTATGTGTCAATTTATATATTTTCTAATTTTAAAAGAACAAAATTAATTAAATTAAAAAAAGTTGCTACATGCTATGGTTTGACGTTTTGGGGGTATAACATGTTTATACAAAAATGATAAATCACATAATATTACCAGCTACATATAAGTATAAGTACCTACCGGACTTTCCTACTTTAAAATTCAATATTCAATACTTTTAATCGGTGTTTTTTTGATCTGTGGAGTAGGAAGTATAAACTTTAATCAGAGCAAGCTGAAGACGAATAAAATATTTTATGCACAATCAATTGTTATGGATTCAAAATTTTTTACAACGCAACCCACCATTGGGTATTCTCAATATATTTAATGCTTCTGTCTTAATTATTGCGTGAAAATTTTAATATATTGGAAATTTGGAAATGATGGCTTTTGTGGAATAATAACATGTTGTTGTAATTTACAATAAACTATGGTACATATAGATACTCAGCCCTACTTCATAAAACTACAAAGTGCATTGTATGATACTCGATCAAGGCGTTCAAGGCAAGATTAGTGAAAATAAGTGAAATTGATGGCAGTCAACTTGATAGGGACCATTAGCTCACTACTGATTCAATAAACGTTTAGTGATTGATCATTCAATCGCCAATCAGGTATATAGGTATCTTTGAATGTCATAGGTACCTATCGGATATCACATGATACTACTATCTGATCCTGCACGGCGTTGCCCGTGACAAATTAAATACCTACTTGTATATTTACCCCTTGTAGAACTCAGCACAGATTTTTAACACAGTAATTTTGGGTGTTTTGATCAAATTTAAATACAAGTGTACAACTATATCCGATCTTCATAAATTCATAACCAATTATTTACCAGGTAATAAATAATAACCCGTGAAAATCCCGTCAGAACCCGTCTATTCGTTTCCTAGACTATTTAGGCCCAAATAGCTGACCTCTAAAACGTGGGGTGCTATTGGTGCTATACTTGTAAATACCTCACAGATCCGTGGCTCTTTGTTATTAATTATAACGAATTAATATTTAATATTATTACTCAAGTCGTATAGTTATGAGTTTATGACTTATGAGCAATATTTTTTTATATATTTTGTAATTAGACGTATAGGTAGGTACCTAATAAACGAAGGAGTGTTCAATTTGAACTTGGGGGTACTAAAGACCTTTTTTCGCTCCCCTAGTTGCACCTATGCCCTTGACAGAAAGTTGATCAAATAAGAGATAGTTAACCAGGTAGGTAGGTCTAGTTATCTTGTACCGACTATTGCTAAGCTACTGCGACACTGTATCCTGCAATCACCCAGAAATATTAAGTTAAAATAATAAAATAACATAATAACTTATTTAAAGTGTATCAAATCATGATGAATCATATATTTAATTTTCTTTATATCGTTTTGAAATAAATTATACTATTATTGTCGAATAAATTTACCTATTGACGACTGTCGACTGAAATTCTAATATTGCGGAGTTTGAGAGGGGGATGTCGTATAAACTATTATTATTTATTACATATTCTCGACCGTCTTCTGGTTTCCTTGTTCACCCTCGTATCAGTGGCGTATACACTGTAGAGTGTAGATATTTTCAATGGGAGGAGTTGCATAAAAAAAATTCCATCCACTCAGTAGAAATTCTAACTGCTGCAGGCTCGTTTAAAAACAGTTTTACACTAATAGAACGTGATCGCGTACTTATATATCAGCAACTCGACGTTATACTAGAGGGCCACCAGTTTTTAGATCTTTAAAATCTAACGAGCCAGAGGATAAAGATAACATTTACAATGCAAAAATGTAAAATCAATTAAACATCGTAAAAGTGGGCACACGTCAATCTTGTTGCATATTGAAATGGATTTGTTTGCAATTCACATAATAATTTTAAGTAAAGCAAACAGCGCATCAATTTCTTTTCAATTTCTTCTACTATATGATTATTGTATACGAATTTATCGTCTACAAACGACGTAATTATTTATGAATACGCAGATATTAGATGAACTTTAAAATTAAACGATAAGTGACATTTTAAAACGCAGTAGCGAGGACCAGATTATACAAAAGGTTAGGATGAGGCTGCACGCGTGACACCAGTTGCTTATATGACCCATCCCTGACGTCGTCGTATGTATAATAATTTAATATTAATATAATATTATAATATTTATAGCCGGGCTGCAGTAATCCCACGCGCACAAAAACCGTATATAATATGTGTACAGCCACTACATCGTCGTAATTACGCTCGCGTACATAGTAGTCCTGCAGTGATTCATAGGAACGTAATTTCCGTGGGAACCGAATACTAGCTCTTGTCCGAGTAATTTAGTAGTCCCGACACGCGGCGTACACCTCGGCGAGGCATAGTCGGATTATTAGATCAAGTATCCGCGGTGACTGTTGTCGCAGCGCTCGTTGACCTCGTTATAGTGTATACGATACTCCGATGTATAAGTATATACCTATGTATAGTATTTAAGGCGAATTTTGGACGGCACCCAACATATATTATGACGACGTTCAAGTCCCCGGCCAGAGAAACCTTCCATCATCTTCCGCGCGACGCGAAATACATATTATACATTATATAACGAGCGCTTGAATTGAAAAAGAACGCTGCAGGCCGCAGGGGACGGAATACCTCATAATTTAAAAAAAATATTTTTACCGTAGGTACCCCTGCTAATTATGTATATCCTAATCAATGAAAAATTCTTAATCTTTGATTACAACATTTTTCTTAATAGCTCAGCATCCCCTTCAATTTATTTTCAATTCAAGCACTGTGATTACATCAAAATATCAATATATCATCGTGTGAAGTGTAAACTCTATACATTAATTATACTGTCATACAAGTGAACAAGTGATAACAGTGTTTTTATATTTTATTATAGCACAAACCCGTCTAGTATAAGGTATATACTCGTTGCCATAAAGTTGTGAGCACGAGAGGGCAGCAGCCTCACCTGCGAAAATTTCTACAGCTGCTGAATATCTTAACCGTATGACAGAGCCCTATAGAGCCCTATGGAACTCTATGGAGGTGTGATGTGGCCGGAGCCCAAACCTATATTAGTTGGGAGCAAAGCTTGAAGAGAAAGATTAATAATATAATTTTGGATTTAAATGAAATAATTCTTTCGAGTATTTTTCAGGTTTTGATTGACTTTCTTGTACGTTAATAGTATTCAAAATATTTTTTTTAATACAAAATTTGCGGTTTCATATAAATACAAATAATATTAATTACATACAATTTAAATTATTTCTCTGTTTGTTATAGTACATAGAAAGATAATTCTTGAAAAAAAGAAATAACTGTTACAAAAAATCATTGTAATAAATAAATATTAATATAAAATAAGAGTACCTAGTGTGTTGTGTGCAGATTGTGTATAATTTATTTTTTCCCAACTTCAAAAATAATTTCACCCCCACCCCCCCTGTTTGAAAACCTAGTTACTCCTATTATACTTCGGCATGCGGATATACACTCATAAATCAGTAATTGAATTTCATTATAAAAACCGATTTTATTAGCACGTAAATTGTAAATAAATTTAATATATTAATGTATGTATAAGTATAATGTATTAATATATACATTATAATAGACGTATACAACATAGTATAATATATAAACGCATGCAGCA